AGCAGGGCAAAGCAGAGCAGGAGTAGAGCAGGAGCAGGGTACAAGTAGATCAGGAGCAGACCAGGAGTAGGGCAGGAGCAGGGTATGAATAGAACACAAGCAGGGCAAGGCAAAGCAGGAGAAGAACACGTGCAGAACATGAGCAGGGCAGAGCAAGAGTAGAGCAGGAGCAGGACACGAGCAGAACACAAGCAGGGCAAAGCAGAGCAGGAGTAGAGCATGAGCAGAGCAGGAGCAGGGTACGAGTAGAGCATGAGTAAAGCAGGAGTAGAGCAGGAGTAGAACACGAGCAGGACACGAGCAGGCAGCGCAGAGCAGGAGTAGAGCAGGAGCAGGACACGAGCAGGGTACAAGTGAGCATGAGCAGAGCAGGAGCAGGGTACAAACAGAACACGAGCAGGGCAGAGCAGGGCAGAGCAGAGCAGGAGCAGAGCATGAGTAGAGCAGGAGCAGGGTACGAGCAGAGCAGGAGCAGGGTACAAATAGAACATGAGCAGGGCAGAGCAGAGCAGTAGTAGAGAAGGACTAGAGCAGGAGCAGGGTATGAGCAGAGCAGGAGCAGAGCAGGAGCAGGGTATGAGCAGAGCAGGAGTAGAGAAGGACTAGAGCAGGAGCAGAGCAGGAGCAGGGTATGAGTAGAGCAGGAGCAGAGCAGGAGCAGGGTACAAATAGAACACGAGCAGGGCAGAGCAGAGTATGAGCAGAGCAGGAGCAGAGCAGGAGCAGAGCAGGAGCAGGGCAGGAGCAGAGCAGGAGCAGGGTACGAGCAGAGCAGGAGCAGAGCAGGAGCAGAGCAGGAGCAGAGCAGGAGCAGAGCAGGAGCAGGGTACGAGCAGAGCAGGAGCAGAGCAGGAGCAGAGCAGGAGCAGGGTATGAGCAGAGCAGGAGCAGAGCAGGAGCAGAGCAGGAGCAGGGCAGGGTATGAGCAGAGCAGGAGCAGAGCAGGAGCAGGCAGGAGCAGAGCAGGAGCAGGGTATGAGCAGAGCAGGAGCAGAGCAGGAGTAGAGAAGGACTAGAGCAGGAGCAGAGCAGGAGTAGAGCAGGAGCAGGCAGGAGCAGAGCAGGAGCAGGGTATGAGCAGAGCAGGAGCAGAGCAGGAGCAGAGCAGGAGCAGGG